AATTGCAAACACACACACACACACACACACACACACACACGCCCCTACAAAAATTTAAGGCTTCTGATAAGTATAAACTGAAAGAAAAATAATCATTCAAGTGATTAAGATAAAAATTGATGTTATTTAAGAGACTATAATTCTGGGTGAGATAAATCTATTGTAGATTTAAAAATATTTACATGGAACAATCAGAAGAATCAATTCTGGAAAACAAGTTTCATGTTAATATATTTTTCAAAGAAATTATAATTTCCTAGAGTAATAATATACTTTATTCACTCTTTTTCAGGTTTCTAAGGTATGACCAAAATGAAACATTTAAAAAATTTCATCAGATATTTTACATAGCTATTAATTTAGGCAGAAGTAATTTATCCCAACAATACTGTCAATTCCTAAAACTGTCGTTTCTAAAATTCCTATTTGAATGAAAATACTCATTTGCATGTTAAAATATCGCTCTTGCTATTTTCTCGTAATGCTTCATCGTTTTCTAAAGTTTTATAAGAGTTTATTTGAGCCAAACTGACGACATATGCAGGGGAGCAAGATCTCAAATGCTCTGGAGAATAACTTTTGCAGCTTCTTTCAAGCATTTGAAATTAAGGAGGGGACATAAGGAAGGCTGGAGAAGGCAAAGCAGGGACTGGATTGCAGGGTAGTTAACAAGACTATGTGCTCTCCTGAAGGTTAATACTCGCTTCTAGAGACATTGCTTCTGGAGTTTCAAAGGTGTGTTAACCTAGATGCACAAGAATAGACAGGGTTGACTAAAAATCTATCGATATAGGCTGGGGGCATGACTACTCACCATGACCTGCCCAGTTAGGAATTTATGATCAGTTTACTTTTTTGTAAGACTAAGGTACCTCTCACATTGTTCAAAGATCATTTTATTTATAAACTTTAGTTTCTGGAATGGGAGTCTAGCAAATAATTTTAAAATGTAATCTTATCTAATATTTATTTTATTAATTTAGATACACATGTATACTTAAAAGTAGATATATACATTATTCTTTAATTTTAAAATGGCAATGGAAAAATTATATCAACTGGGAAATCTTTAAAAAGTTTCATATTTCACCAGAGCAATATACATAACTATAGCTTTAAGCTTTAAAATGGACTATTTTTACTATTTTTGTTGGCTCAACAAACCCATATGAATATAGTGTTAAATAAGAGCGAATTCATACAAATACTAAAAAGACAAAGAAGTTCTTTGGCTAAACCCGTCTTTTGCTACCAACTCAAAATATAGTAACACTCCATCAGTGTTAGCTTGTTAACAGAAACTTTGTACCTGGTGGTGCTGCTGCCATTACAGTGAGAGCTGCCATTGACTTGGTGCCTATATAATGGCTTTTTACAAGGAAGCGGGCTAATTCCAAGACTGTGTCAAATGGCTGGCTTAACACTTTCTGGGCCCACTCACACACAAGACGGCATGCAGAAGAGATAACTTCCTCATCAATATTTTGAAGCTGCCCAGAAGGTTCAGCTCCTTCCAACTAAAAAGAAGAAGGAAAAGTTAATTTTAAAAGAAAGCTCAGAGAAATTAAGCTAAAGCACATTCAGGATATGTATTCTTTTAAAAATATATTTATACTTTTTAAAATTAAAATTATTGAGGTGACATTAATAAAATCAAGTAAGTTTCAAGGGTACAATTCAAATATATATATAGTGCACTGTGTGTTCACCACCCAAAGTTAGATTTCCTTCTGTCACCAAATATTTGACCCCTTTAACCCCTATTTCCCTCCCCACTCCTCCTCTTCCCTCTGGTAACCACTAATCCACTGTCCATGTCCCCGAGTCTCTGTTTGTCATGTTTCTTTGTTGCTTTCAGCTTTATATCCAACATGAGTGAAATAATATGATTTTCAACTTTTTCTGTTTGACTTATTTCACTTAACGTGATATGTTATCCGTAATTAGAAGATACAATCTAAATCTGTCAGGTCAAAGTATCATGAAGTGACCTGATATCAGGCATAAAAGAGCCTTGCAAATAAAAGGCCTATGCCTATACCCATCAGTACAAAGCCATCAGCAGCAGCATTGTGAACATACCATTTAAATGGTTGTTCAACAATATATGAATACCAAGATCTTCTGAATGTTTCTAAAAACCTTTTTGGACATAAATAAACTATGACACTAGCCATATTTTCTCTTCTGAAAACATTTATAATGTACCTATTAAACTAAACTTAACTTTTCCTCTAAACTAAAAATATTATAGATATATTATAGATATATTTACAAAACAGTAAGTTTAGACTTACCTTTGTTCACCCTAATTTCAGAAATTGTGTTGACGTAAGTCACATACACTAACATTTTCCAGCCACTGTTGAATTTTTTGTCTCATGTATTTCATAAAAGGCAGAGTTCCTGGTGTCTGGTTTATCCCAATGAGACTATATACTGTATGCATGTCAATGCTGATATTAAAGTACACTTTTAACTTATTAAAAAGACAAGACAGAATTCTTACCCCGTCTCCAGTTTTGTGAAAGTCAAGGTTGGGCAGTGTTGGCATATGAACAAAAGCTTTTTTTCTTAGTCCACTGTAGCAATATGTAATAAACAGTTAAGGTCTAAAGTTTCTAAATTAAATGAACTGCTTATATAATTAGCACTTGAAAAGTAACCACATATGAAATAAAAAATAAAATCAGCATGAAACAACATTTACTTTATGAGTTCGTCAGTAAGAGAAACCTTAGTATTATCAACTCAGGATTTTTACTCTTTTGAAACTGGAACAGACTTTGTAGAATGTTACTGTCTTAAATGAAACAAAATGATTCTCGTCTGTTATAAATTTAATGAATAAATGTTTCTAATAGGCTGTGCCAGTCACCAGTAACAAACAGGTCAGAAGGAAAGGAATATTCAGATGGAAACCTGGCACAGAGAAGGGAAACTTTAGCCCAGGGCAGTGGGACAAAAACAACTCTTAAGAGTGTCACAAGGGCTTTAACCTTTTCGTTGCTCTTTTTCCACTGAAACGCACAGGATTATCACCTGTAACATGCCAAAGACATATCAAGACATTTTGTTTGTACTCAGGAAACAAGGACAGGTCATGTAACAAGTGGTTAAACAACACCTGGAAGCATTTTTAGAAAAGCAGTCTTCCATCTTCCCCCATCTCTCCTCTCCTCCATGGCAGAGAATTTTTATGCTGTGAAAAAGGCCAGGAGCTAAGGATAGAGAAATGAAGTATTTCTAATAGGATACAGAGATCCTCTATTTTACAATCTTCCGAGAACTTTAATAAATTCTTAATTTTCATTTCCTTACTTCTGTTTGTTCCTAAGTATTTCTCCATCACAAGAGGGACCTTTTCTATGCCCTGGCTTTAAATTTAATACTGGCTTTAAACAGCTGGCTGAAAAACACTTTAAAGAGAACACTAATCTTCCAGTACGAGTTCTGCAAGAAAATTTTTTTTTTGAATGTTGTATATTTTGCTAAAGAGATCCCTATTTTTCTAAATAAGAAGAAAGAAAGAAAATAAGCTAACATTTTTCTCTGCTTTCACCGATAATTTACAGTTGCTGCACTGTGGGGCTTGCCTCAGTAATCCTAGTGTTAAAGAAAAGGAGATCGGACCATTAAGAACACATTACAGTGACAGAATAAGATGAAATCTATCACAATCCTAATAACCACCATTAGTTATTTCTCTTGCAGTTTGATAGGTAGCTGGGAAAAAAACATTTAAAGTTATTCTAAGTACGTTTGAGTTCTTTATATTTATTAATTTAAATGTATTTCTAAATATAGTTGCTGGTTGAACTACAACAGCAGATGTTCTGTGATAAGTGATAACTTAAAGAGGTTACTAAAAACCATTCTGGTAAAGGATATTTCGATTTGCCTCTTGTGCCCAGACGACGTGCCTTCATATTTGGAAATACATTTTTCATGATCTTTCCAAAGTCAGCAGCACTGAGTGGATGGTAACCAAGATTGTCACAGTAGCTCCTGAAAAAGAAGGAGAGACCAACTTAGAGAGCAACGAAGCTCAGAATTATATAGCACAGTGCTATTTCAATACAATTTGATCCTTTTGACAAAGTGAAAAACACATCATCAAGCCATTCACAATTTTCACTGATATATGACTACTCTCAGGTTTGGTTACCTTGTTTCATCCTGGGTATGCAGTAGAGCTGCTTTCAATAGCATTCAAGAAACTCACAATAAGAAATGGTAGTATGAAGTTTTCCAACTACAATCCAACCAAGCACTCTGAAATAAGTATATCCAGATCAAGCAGGGGAGCTACAAGTTCCCACATATATATCAAGCTCACATACTGAGATCATTTCCAATGTGAACATTACATACATCAGATATGAAGAGACAAACTACACAATTTAAAATAGAAACATGATATATTAGAACTAAAAGAGACCTTAGAGATGATCTGTACCAATACTTTCATTTTACCTGGAAGGGAAAAAAACTAAGGCACAGAGAGAGGTTCCAAAGGTTCAATGTTTCCCCCTTGTCTCTACCACCCTTATTATTGTCAGGAAAAAAGTACATTGTAAGGCAGTGACTTCAAGTGGGACCAGAGAAACAAATCAAGTCTTAACTACTACTGGCGTTCTGTTTTCCTCTAGAAGTGCCAGAGGTAAAAGGCCAATCTCTGCTCTAACCAGTTCAGAAGCAGGTCAAGGCCAGAACTTGTTCTGGCTTCTGACACCATCCTCATAATTGGTGGACTTTGGGAAAACCACTACCTAAGAAATACCAAAGAGGAAGTTGGAGGAATTCCAATGTATTTCAATCAAATCTCCCTACTGCACTCCCATTTCAGCACCAACCAGAGCAGCTTCTTGATGAAATCATGCGGCGGAGAGCCAAAGGGAGAGACTGAGGATGAAGAAAGGAAGACAAACGACTAGAGGCCTGGTGGGCAGGGTGTAATGGTAACTGGATGTTGAGTTCTTGCAGACTGCTGAATATTCTGGCGACATTCCTGAAGTGACCCGAACACAAGAGGTTGAACTGGGGGAAGACTCAGGAGAAGGTAGGAACCCTTGAGAGTCTTAATAGAGAAAAGGGGTAGGTCTGGAGACGATGGTATTGTTCTTGATTGTGCTCTCCCTATTCCCACATCAATCCTACATACTTCTGGTGGAAGTGGAGGGTGGGTGTGTGTGGAGATGCCTAGCAAACACATTCCCAACAGTGCTGAAGGGTAGGGAGAAGGGAAAGGAGCTAGCACCTATTGAGAATCTATTCTACAGAAGTATTAGATTATATGTCATATTTAAATTAAGACTAAATACAATACTCCAAGTGGTTCAGTGTCAGGTTTAAGTTACAAAGTAAACGGGTGACTACTTTTGGGTGCTGACAATTCAAATGAATTGTATTAAGTCATAACCATTTTGGTAGCAACGTAAATCAGTCATCCTTATGGCTTAAACAAGAACAGAAAACAAATGTGAGGGAGGTTCCTTTGTACTTCAGGGACTAGACGTATGTTGTTTCTGGAATATAATTTTTCTTATCCTTGAAGTCCCAAATTAAATGTTATGGTTTTTGACAGGGTCTCATATGACTACCTTATCCAAAGTGCCCTCATCTGCACATCCTCACCATACTCCCTATCAGTGTACTCTGTTTCTTTTCTCCTCACGACTTATAATTTTATATGTAACAGCCAATTTACCTGTTGTCTCCTCAATCAGAACACTGACTCAACTCTAGTTGGTTCACCATCTTATTCTCAGCACCAGGAACAAGATTTAAGAGTCACATTAAGCCTTAATATAACATTAAGTATGTCATATTTAAAATGATAAGAACCTAAAGAAACACGGAAAAAGACACACACACAAAAAGGCAACCCCCTTCTCTCCCACCGACCCACAACCAAAACCAAGACTGCCCACTGGCTCCTATGACAGCACTGGCAGATGGGTCTAAAAAATTGATACCGAATAAAGAAAAGCAGGGCAATGAGTCTAACGAGAGACAGAATATTCATTCTGGTCTTCCTCTGCTATTTAGATTTTGATGTTTTTTCATTTTATATCAAAATTTTTTACTTTGGTAGAAGTGGCAGGTAAAAGGTTGACAAAGTTAAGTATCAAGATGATCAATTGCCTGTCATATAGAACTAATCCTGAGTGTAATTCAGGTTGAGACCATCCGATTTCATCTGGATTTTGATTCTTAATTATTCCACTAAAAGAGAAAAATTCATGTTTTGGAAGAATGAATATATATATATATATATTTTTACAATGACCTTATCATTAAAATACTCTTTAGTAGATAAATATAAAAGTTATCTTGTAGATAAACAGCTCAAATTATTCCTCCTGAATAAAATAGAAGGCAATGTTAAGAATAAAAATGCTTATGACTCTAAATTCTATATTTGACATCTTACATGTCAAAGAGAAAATAAAGAGAGACTTGATTTAATTTTGTGAAATCTTAGAACTGGAAATGAGTTCAGCAGTTGTATAGTTGAACTTCCTGCCAGATGTGGAAATAGCCAGACTCCTAAATGATGGGTTACCTCAATGAGAACACCTCCTCTGATGGGGAGGGTTCTATATTTTGAGGTAGCCTATCCAATTTTCAGTAGTTCTAATTTTTAAAGAAAAAGAATTTCATTATTAGAGTCCCTTCCCCATTGGAAAGATCTAGGTACTTAATGATTCAGTTTTTAATCTAATTAAATATTCATAGGCTATTTGTAATTTTAAAGCCAGAGCTTTACGACAAACCATAGGTCATTATAGTTTGAAGATTTGGTTAGTTTACATATCATTTTCTTGCTTTATAACTAACTGAAGGTTGATCAAGCAAGATATGGTGCCAATTAACACCTAATAGCATCAGATTATATTTATATAAGACTCAAAATAAGAGAAGAAACAGAGAATGTTCTGTTCACAGGATAATAAACACTCTAATACCATTCTTAAAATGAGATCATTTGTTTTTCTTCTCACTTTTTTTTAAAGTTGCTTTTAAAACTTTGAAACTAAGCCTCACATTCAATATGACTGTCAATGCCACTCAAAATCCTTGTTGGCAAGTCAATCTTAAATGTTTAGTCATACTATTTAGAAATTAATTATATAAATTAAAGGTATACATTGTTTAAAGTTACAAAAATATGAACAAAAATCATAAAAGAGAAGTGGCAAAATGGAGTCCAAGGATACCTATACAAATCTGGACTTTTTTGAGTGCTTTGTATGCATTACATTATTTAATCCTCATATTTTTTTTTCCTTGCAGAGTTGTTTTTATACTCGTTTTTATACTCCCTTTGAGACATTAAGTTTCAAACCATTACACAAGAGTTCTTATTTTCTTATAGGTATAAAAAATGGTCTCAACAGTTTTTTTTTGAAACATGCAAACATATTTCACTGTAAAGTATATGCCCATTATTTATAGTGCCTAAATTCAATAAATGCCAGTTGATGAGGATTGTGATAAGTAGTCCCTAAAATGCACTTAAGCTGTCTCATAATAATGGCACATTTCTACATAAAGTGATACAAAGAATGATCTACACTACCACACAGAAAATCAAAGAAAACATCATTACATGTGTATAAAATGTTATAAAGTTTACCTACTTTAATTTAAAGAACATACTTTTAATTTGTATAGGAAAAAATTACATTCTTGGCCGTGGAATCCAACAATTCATGGCATACTACATTTCTGTCTTAATGAATGATTTCATGATCTATACTGTTTATTTTTTTAAACCTTTGAATCCCTTCACCAGTATCTCCCAACTCCCAAATCCCCATCTCTGGCAATCACCAATCTGTTCTCTGTGTCTATGTTTTTTGTTTTTGTTTTTTTTTTAAAGATTCCACATATAAGTGAGATCATACAGTATTCGTCTTTGTTTGACTTACTTCATCTAGCATAATATCCTTGAAGTCCATCTATGTTGTCACAAATAGGATTTCATTCTTTATTATGGCTGAATAATATTCCATTGTATATACACACACCACAATTTCTTTATATTCATCCACTGATGGATACTTACACTGGTACCAGTCCATGGCCTCTTGGGAACAGGGCTGCACATGAGGAGGTGAGTGGTGTGTGAGTGAGTGAAGCTTTAACTGTATTTGTAGCTGCTCCCCAGGGCTCGCATCACTACTTCAGTTCTACCTCAGATCATCAGGCACTAGATTCTCATAGGAGCACCGGTCCCTGGTGCTAAAAAGATTGGAGACCACTGACTTCTTTGTCTGTTTTTATGATAACACCATATTATTTAAATTACTATTGTTCTGTAATAGAGTTTGAAATCAGAGAATGTGATGCCTCCAGCTTTCTACTTCTAAAGACTGCTTCAACCACGAGGGGTCTTTTGTGGTTCCAGACAAATTTTAGGATTCTTTGTTCTATACTGTTCTATTTGTTTCTTGAGGTAGGTATTTATAAACTTCCCTCTTGGCACTGCTTTTGCTGCATCCCATAAATTTTGGTGTTATTTTCCATTTTCATTTGTCTCAAGGTAAATTTTGATTTCCCTATTGATTTCTTCTTTGATCCACAGTAGCATGTTGTTTAATCACACATACTTGTGAATTTTCCAGTTTTCCTCATGTAATTCACTTCCAGTTTCATACCACTGTGGTCAGAAAAGATATTTAATTTCAATCCTCTTAAATTTATTAAGACTTGCTTTGTGGTCTAACAAGACCAATCCTGAAAAATGTTCCATATGCACTTGAGAAGAATGTACATTCTGTTGCTTTTTATGGAATGTTCTGTATATATGTGAATTTCATCTGGTCTAACGTTGTTTAAGGCCGATGTCTCCTCATTGATTTTTTTTGTCTGGATGATCTATCCATTGATGTAAGTGGGGTATTATTACAGTGCCCTACTGTTATTGTATTGCTGTCTACTTCTTCCTTTAAGTCTGTTAGTATTTGCTTTATATATTCAGAAGCTCCTATGTTGTGTAC